TCAACAAACACTCACACTCATATTCTCTTTACAATCATAGAAAACTTCACATCAACTTCAACATGGCTGCTAATTTTCCTTTGATAATGGCTAACATTACCTAATATGTTCCCACAGATTCTCTGCACTTGTCTCTTACCTGGCACTGTCACAAAAAACTTGACAGCATCCCGGTGTCCGTGGAAACATAGTTGGGCGTGAGCCATGGAGCAGTATGGCACAAAGCTGCCTGGCATTGCACAGTCTGTCACAGAGCTGTCATCACCGTAGACCCGTACAGCACTGCCCGGGCGATTTGGCACTGTTCCTGTTGTTCTGTTAGCTGAAGAATACAGTAAAGTGTCATCTGCCCACTTTATGTGCTTCTTTGAAAAAAGTGCTTTCATGGATAAACGAAAGCAGGAAATTTAGAAGGTAAATGAAAACCGAAAAACAAACGAGGTCAAACAAAAACAGGTGAAGTTAGGAAACAGGTAAAACGCCAATCAAAAAAAGAAAAATGCAAGACAAACTACCAAAAGATAAAAGTAGTTACAACAATTAATACCAGAAAAACTATGTAGATACAATATCACAGAAAGGAAGTCGGCAGAAGTGTATTTAAGAAGGGATTTAAATAAATCCTCACACCAGTTATTCCAAGGTCAAAGGGCTCATATTTCTGCTATGTAGCGTGGGGCCAGACCCAGATGTGCTTTAAAGGTGATAATCAAAATAATAAAATCAGGTCTGAACATACAGGGAGCCAAAAGAAAGAAGCTAGGATTATCTGCAAAAACCAGTTATCGCAGTTATGGCCTGGTCTGAAACCAGTCTGTGACACAGGCAGTCGAACTGTATATAGATCAAGCTAGTCAGAGCGCAGAGGAGCCTGTCTGCTAAATTCTGGAAGAACGCTTTATTCTCTGACCTCTAAGTAAAACCTAAAGTTAGAGGTTAAAGCAGACATAAGAACAGACCCTGATTATAAAAACACAGAGAACTGCACAGCCTACACACAGACACTGATATAAAAGAAAGAAGATGGTGACAGGAAACGCAGGTACACCCTTGGAAAAGTTTTAATATTTAAAGAGAGCAGCACTCCTCAATATCTACTGAGAGCCCAGCTTTGAAGCATAAACCCATCAAACTGCACTATGTAAGCTATGTGAGACTTGTATCCATGGCAATGCCACTGTCTTTTACAGCACAGATACGCAGCGAGAAGAGACAGAGGATTTATGGATTTTAAGAGAGAAGGTGATGCTACACAATGACGGTCCCTGAGGCATCAGAATGGCCATCTGGGAGATGAGTTGAAATATGAAAGAAGAATAAAAGGAGACGGTGGAGGCAGCAGTGAGGGATTTGATATTAAGAACACGCCGCGCATTTACGTAACTAATAGCATGCTTCAATTCAACCATATGCCAAATATGAATATATTTGTACTCAGGAATACTCAAAAATAAACAGTTTAACCTCACAACATCTCAGTTTTCCCACAGAATATTTAAATCATAAAGACTTGGACACTTTAAAATGATGAAACTAATGTTCTGCAATGCAAATAGAGCATAAAAGCTAACAGTATGTATTTATTCCTAATGCAGTAATGAGTTGAGTTCAGTGAATAAACACTGCTAAAAGAACATTTTGATGATGCATTGCTTTATGAAACAAAAGTGGACATTTAAGCAGGCAGCTGATGAGATTGTGCTGTACCTTCAGAGAGCGGGATGGAGATGATTACGCCATTTCCTGTACCCACCCACAGTCGGTTGCAGGATACGACGAGAGCGGTGATTCTCACAAATGAGAAACCCAATTTACCTGTACCTGCAACACACACAGAAGATGTTCGATCCAAGATCTGAAGAAGAAACGTTGCGACCTCCTAAACTGTTCAAAATATCACTCTACTACGTGTGTGTACAGAAAGTAAGCGCTGAATTCTACATGTATGTTGCCATACAGCAACTCTATCTAGGGATTATTTCCTTTTTTTTATTTTATTTTTTTTTATTTCCTATAAATGAGTGAGCATAAAACCAGAAGTCTGTTGAGATGATTTATGAAAGTGCTGATTAACTGCTAGGCAACAAACAGTTTGTATACCCAGCATCTTGCTGACATAGGGCTCAATGTCCACATCCTGGAGGTGCTGGTAGGTGTGGGCGTGAAACAAGCGTAGAGTTGAATCCAGTCGGATGGACACCCAGATGCCATCTCCAACCCAGGCCAGCTGCCGTACCTGGCTCTCCTTCCGAGGATGAGCGTCAAAGGATTTCTGCAAGGGTGCGATAGATTGCAATTGCGTAATGTTAGAAGTAAATTGGGATGTTCCCATGACAACAATAAGGTTTAATTGGTTGAAGTTGACTGGAACAGAAAAATAACTTGCACAACATATGGTTTATTAACTTTCAATGACAGCTGTACCTCTATCCTCATGGCCTTTGGCTGGATGACGTAGATCTTATTTCTGTAGCCGCACCAAACCTTATCGTGGACTACGGTCATACAGCGGATAGAGTGGTGGGGCCGGCCCAGATCCAGCAGATGGTAGTTGGTTAGATCCCACTGTCCGTCTGCTTGGAAGAAACAAGAAGACTTTGGCAATTTGTGGCATAAAATTAGTCGTGGCTCAGTCACACTACAGTGAAAATAAGACGGCAACCACCCTGTGACTAGTAAAAACCACTGGTTGGCTGCTGATGAACCGGACTTTTTGCTGTCGGAGACCGACTGCAAGCAGTCTAAGTTACAGACTTACCAATGCCTCTGTGGAAAATTGCTAATGTCCCATCAGCCAGTGCTACCAGGACCCTCCCTTTAACATGCCTGCAACAGGTTATGAAGACACTTTTAAAAGTATGTTTATTAGTCTATTTTTAAATGTTCATTTGTTATGTGTGTGCAAGTCCTTAAATAAAAACACAACCAACTTTTTACTCACACTATGCTGAGGATCGAGTCTTTCAGTTTGATGGCATGAAGACATTTCCTCCACCGAGCCACAGACGAGTGGACGTACAGACTAAAGACAGGAAAGTCGAGCAGAGGAAAACTCCTGATTATCAACTAAATAAAGACATGAAAATGTATCCAAATGATTAAACACTATGACAAAAACACAGCCGCTGATAAATAAATAAACACCAAAATCAGCATGATAACCAAAAGCAAATTTTCTCCATGAAGTTACAACCTCATCAAATTTTCTCCTCCTTTTTCCCCTGAACTAATAGCTCCCTCTAGTGGCTGCTGCCTCACTTACCACCCATTCTGAGCACCGAGCCACATGGTGGGAAGTGCACTGCTCATCCTCAGGACCTCAATCTCTGATGGGTCCGAGTCTTCTGCCAGAGAAGTCACCCCATCCTGTCTGGATCCCCTGGATAATGGAAAACAGTCCTTCAAATACACCGTTCATTAAGAAAACATGGAGTAAACACGTGCAGCCGAGTTTCCACAGCTGCTCTTATGGTTTCCTCTGCAAGCTAAAAATACCAGTGCTTTTATTTTGCAACAGCAAGTTTAGGCTGTTTTATTTTAAAGGTGTGTAAATTAATGTGTGGACATAATTCTTCTAGGGTTCATACATTTCAAGATTTTAAATTTGCAATTGTCATATATGCCTTAAAAATCTTAAGAATTGACTAAAGCATCTACCAATATTCACTCTCACCTCTGTGATTCAGCAACTAAGGAGTCAGTGGGTTCCACCCCGAGTGGGTCGGTGAACACGTGCTCCGTGTAGATTCCTGGCTGGTTTTGGTCAGCCCCCTGATCTTCCTCTCCTTCTTCGCCCACGCCAGCATTAGCCTCCGTTGCTTCTGTTGCCTCTTCCGCTGTGGGAACCCCATCTTCTGCTGGACTGGTCTCTCTGGACAACTCAACAGTGGGAGCTGTGGATCACAGCACAGCACAGCTGTCAAACCACACATACTGTACTCTATCTAAACATTTTTTTTAGTAGAGAACTACCAGAGGCTGAGGTGGCGCTGTGCTCAGCCGGCTGGTCGGCAACACCTGCACTAGCTGTCTGGGGAATGGCAGTGGTGCCCTCGGCTGCCGAGGCGCTATCGCTGCCTGCTGAGCCTACACTGGCCACGCTGCCAGCCAGTGACGCCGCATCCCCTTGGCTGGACTCCAGGTCTTGGGGTACAGCTTCACCTGCTGGATAATCAGTTTCCAACACACCTGACAAAACACCACAAATGACCCAGTAAGAAAAACTATTTTTACCCCAACAAACACAAAGCGTGACCACTGGACCTACCTGGCACACTGGCGATGCAGACAATGTGAGTGTTGCAGGCGTAGAAGCTGTCGAGCAGGTCAGAGGGCTGAGTGGCATCCAGAACCATAACCTTGGTGGAGGAGTGGGTGCTAGTGCACACCCACACACGACTGGACATCTCGTCCTGAACAATCAGCTCCTTCTCTTTCTCCCCTTTTTCCCGATCCTTACAGCAACGTAACACATTAGCGAATCGACTCAAAGCATAAAACATAAAGAACTATCAGAAGTCACAAGAGCTTCTTCCTTCCTTAAACTACTCACCTTACTCTCCTGCTCCAGCTGATCCAAGCTGCTCTGAGAACCCTTTGTCTGCTTAGAAAGCTCTGATGAGGAAAATGCCCGACCCCCGGACAGGTTGACCCCGGCAGCGCACCACAGCTGTGGGACAGAAAGAGCTTGTTAGAAACATCAAAATGTTAAAATATAACAACAATATCCTGCATGTATGCTTAGAGTTGTCTATTCATTCATTTAAGCACCTTCATAGAAGCATCTTTCTGGTCCAGAGGTCTCAAGTAAACCGGCACAGGTAAGTTCATTTTGTTTTCCACTTGTCCACCGTTTGCTACCTGTGATGGTAGAACAGTCAAAACTTAAATATTGTAAATAAAGTTTATTTTAAGACTTTTAAAACCACTACTTTTAAATTTTCTCAGGTGAACATGAACACAGGGCTGGAACAGACAAAGGATACACCTTATTATGCTGCACAGGATATGCTGGCCATTTAAAATAAACGATTTCTTCTTCTAAAGCGAACAAAGCAAAATAAAAAGTGCCGATCGCATCTCTGACCTAATGCAAAGCAATTTTTTCATTTCCCACCTTGTATTTGCTGGGCAGGCTCCAGCCATGCGCAGTGACTCGTCCGTCCTCCTTCTGCACGTGAGCCTTGACCTGTCTGTACTGGCTTCTCTTCTGCTCTTTACGTGATGGAGAACTGCACTGTTCCTTACTAAAGGGAGAACCACGAGAGACACAAAGCCATCAGCTGATAATGCATTTTATAGACAGGTGCATTAATGAATTTCCAACTTGGTAAAATCCACAGAACTCAAAGTCAAACGTCCTCATTACTTACTCTTCATTGAGGAAGTCAAATGTCTTGGACTTCTCCGTGGGGAACTGGGAGAAAGTGCTGCTCCTCTTCACCGTGCTGCCCGGAGTGCTGTACTTCGTATTGGACTGGGATTCAAACTTTACGGCAGGGGCACTGGAGGAGGAGCTAAACAGTCTGCTGAAGCTGCACGTGGCGAAGTTACAGAAAGCCAAGAGGGAAACAGAGCCGACAGGAGCGCAGGGAAAGAGCAAGGCAGGGGTGTCACCAACAAACCAGACAATCAAGGAACTACCACCAACATTTACTGTACAGTGACATAAAGCATGCTGGGAGTCAAAGTAGAGCTAAGCACTCCCCTATTATATCTAACTAAAACTTTAACTAATATACACTCACCAGCTACTTTATAAGGCATGTCTGTTCAACTGCTTGTAAACAAAACCATCTAATCAGCCAATCACATCGCAGCAGGTCAGTGCATTTAGGCATGTAGATGTGGTCAAGATGACCCGCTGAACTTCAAACTGAGCATCAGAATGCAGAAGAAAGTATTTCAAGTGACTGTGAATGTGGCTGTTGTGGTTGTTGGTGTCACACAAGTTGGTCTGAGTATTTGAGAAACTGCTGATCTACTGAAATTTTCCCAACAACCATTTCTATGGTGAACTCAAATAACAACTCATTATAACCGAGGTATGCAGAAGAGCATCTGTGAATGCACAAGATGTTCAACCTTGAAGCAGATAGGCAACAACAGCAGCAGCAGAAACCACATCGGGTACCACCTCTGTCAGTGAAAAACAGGAAAGGCTCAACAAAACTGGACAATGAAATACTGGAAAAAAGTTGCCTGGTCTGATGTCTCGAGCTGTGCTGCTATATTTAGATAGTAGGGTCACAATTTGGCTAAACACCATGAAAGCACAAAGCCATCCTGCCTTGTATCAATGCTTCAGGCTGCTGAAGCATTGACACAATCTTGTTGGATCTGAAGGCAAAAAGTGGTCCAAATCGATACTAGTAGGGTATACCTAATAAAGTGGCCAGTGAGTGTGAATTTTTACAATATATAAGACAAAGTTTGATACATGCTTAAAGCCTGTTTTATTACTGCAGAACGATATCGTACTGCTTTTTGATTTTTCTTTCTGATTTTTGAGAATATGTTAAAATTAAAAACTCAGAAAACACAAAAGCCACAGAGGTGAGCTTACCAAGGCTAAGGACGGCAATTTAGATATTAAAATTCCTCAATAATAGAAATCAAATCTACTGACTTGCATGTGCAGTCTGACGTGGTAGACATAAGCAACACAACATGTACATATACTCGTATATGTAGTTTCCCTTTGCTCGCTATGAGCAGACAGAGTAAGGAAAACATCAAAAGGCACACAGCAGGCAGGAGACAGGAAAGCCCGGGGGCAAAAGGAGAGTAACATCTGAGCAGTTTGTGATAACAACAACTGATGCACTGCACTGAGAGCAAAGATTATGGATAAAGACACATCAAAGTTGGATCCTTTCAGAATGGAGGAGCACTTCTGTGTTAAACGGGGGTAGGGTAGGAGAGAGGTTTAGTGGGGAGGTCTGTCAAATCATCTTTACCTAATGCTGCCAATTCAATGGCACATCCCGGAAAAGATAAGAAAAAAGATGTATTTGAATATTTGAATGACAAAAAAAGTCAGGATTCAACTTGGAAGGCAACGTGGCAGCCCTATCAAAACTAAAAGACAAACAGTAAATAATGCAGTAAATCCAAAAAGACTCACAACTGCCAGATGCTGGATTTCTTTTTTTCTGAGATAGTTGGATTTTCCCTTGAAGCCCTAAAGAAGAGAAGACGACAATCTTTAACAATCTTTAGTTTATGTGTCCGGATATGTTGATATATGTTTTTTTTAGATGTATAACACAAAGTTATAACCCTAACAAAACATCAAATGCACTTTGCTCCATCCATCCACCACTCATTGCTTCATCACCTGATCATCTCAGTCCACCGCACAGCTTCCTGCAGCTCCATAAGTCGCTCTTTGTACTGGTTCCTCTCCATCAGCACTCGGGCCATCTCCACTCTGGTGAAACGCTTCTTCTGAGCCGTAGGTAAATCACTCTGTACCGGCACACAATTAAACCCAAACATGACCACACAGAAATGCATGAATTCTACCAAATAAATGAGCCACACAACAGACACAGGATACAGGACTCACCTCTTCTTCTTCGTTAGCTTTATGTTTTGCTTCCTCCATCTCCAGGCGTACTCTGGAAAATATAAGTTTTTACACAAATGTCTATAGGAAATGGGCGTAGCCAGAGTTTCTATTTGGAGAGATACCATTAGGCACTCGCCAAGCAGAGACTCCTGCTACTTAGCTCCAATAGCACAGTAGTAAAGTGTGTCAGCGAGGATTTATACTTTGCGACCGACAGTGAATTACCTGCAGCAGCGTGCTTCATCGTCCTTGTGACTAAACACAGAAACTAAACATCACAGATTCCTCTCATAGCTCTTACTTTTTGAGTTCCTCCTCCAGCTCTTTGTTCTTTTCCTCCAGCTTGGATTTTGCCTGCAGCAAAGCCTCCAGATCTCCCTCCAACATCTCCTTCTCACTTGTCAGTTCGTCGACTTTCTGAATCAAGTCTTTATTCACCACATTCAAGGCGTTCCTGGAAGGACATTTTAATACGTTTGTTTTTTAATCTCTGTTTTCAAGACAAAAGGCAGCTTAAACAAAGGATTCAGTGATTCTAAAACTTACACTGAAATCATGAATTTCAAAAGTCAGTAATATAGTGCTGCATGTCCAATCAGGACACAGTGATCCAAAAACCAAAAAACAGTTCTTAAAGGTACAGTGTGTAAAATTTCACCCCATAGATGTCAGTGGGTTGCAGTCAACTGAATTCAGTTTTTTTTAATTATCCCAATTGAAGTGCATAATCCTAGCTAGGACAGCTACTGTAGGGCAGACATGTTTTAGTCAGCCAAGAGAGATCAAAAACATTAAATCTAGGCTGTATGCCATAATAGCCGTGGCCTGCCAGCGTGTTTCTACTACTGTTTGTGTAAGAAAAAAAAATCCTCTTTAATAGTCATTATTTCTTTTAATATATTTGAATTTGATCAACACTTACCAATAAATTAGGAAATTCAAAAGTGGATATGTGTTGGTAAATACTTCTATGCTAGGTATTCTATGCTGTTATGCCTGAGTCACCTCAAAAACTCTTGCCACTGTTAATCTATCGTCAGTGTACTCTGATAGCAAAGTGACTCTGGGACCTTTTTGCTATTTTGGGTAGGCTGTCCACTGTTACCTTGTTAGCTAAATTTCCTTCACTTTTCTGTCAGTAAGCTCTGCTGTTAGCCTCTGTTAGCAGCTGTTAGCCTCTGTTAGCAGCTGTTAAAATCTGTTAGCAGCTGTTAGCCTCTGTTAGCAGCTGTTAAAATCTGTTAGCAGCTGTTAGCCTCTGTTAGCAGCTGTTAGCCTCTGTTAGCAGCTGTTAAAATCTGTTAGCAGCTGTTAGTGAAACATTCCTTAAACAAGATCTCACATTGTTGAACTCGGACACCTAGCGAGTAAACTCTCATACAATGTGAAAATGTCATCAGACTGTTTATCAAAGGAAGTGTTTATTAAGCCTAATATTATCTGACATAATGATAGCTTATAAACAGCTGCTGCTCTTCTAGAGAAGAGAGAGTCTAATCTGCTGACAGTAATAATTAAACAGGCATGCACATTTTCATGTGTTAGGGCTCTGACTTCAGTTCATGACTCTTTGTACCTTTCGTGTGAATGTGCAGACATGAATTAAAAATCTGACTCCATGGCACTCGAACATCTAAGAGTTCTCCTTCACATTTTTCTTTGTTTGTGGCTGGTCTCTAGCAACATACACAACTCAGCGATTAGGCAGAAGAGAGAAGTCCATTTCCACCATTGTATTCAAGATGGTGGGGGAACATGGTGACCACTAAAAAATGGCACTCACTCCTATGTATTTTTTAAGGCTTAATTCTACGTTATGAGAATACATCAATATGTTAAACGACATTATTAGATACTAATCAATGGATGTTTGTAGGTGCAATATTTTCAACATTGCTTTTTTCTTCTTAATGATCTCCAACAATAAAACAAAAACATTTAAAAAAAACTAAACCAAACCAAATTTAGAGAGAGTCATTACAGCCCTACAAAGGATGAAGAAGTGGATATTAAATTCTACTTACTTAGTCTCAAGCAGTTGTGAATTCTCCATAATTAGATTTTCAACTTCCCGGCCCATTCCTGAACAGAATTAAAGAACAACATTATAATTTTATCACTTAACAAATCTGAATTGAACACAAACTGGATCTGTCACTACTTTAACACTACATATAAAGAAGTACACTATTCACACTAAGAATAAATCCAACCAGGCATGACGTTGGACATGAAATATCTCCTAGTGAGATATTTGTTACTGTAGGTCTCACAGCACATGAAACTACCGCAACGCACAAACCCACAGCACAACATGTCACATGACAGACATGAGAAGAATGGAAAGAGTGGGTGAGGTCTTACCAATCAAACTAAGGTCTGAGAATACCATGCAATCCAAGCCAGGCGGAAAAAGAGTAGGGAAGAGAGAGAGAGAGAGAGAAATGCGGATATAGTTTGAGACAGTGAAATGACCAAAATGATGAAGGAGCCAGAGCTGAATGTGTAGCTGCTGACTCCACAAGCAAAAAGGAAGAGATGCTGTAAAATCTCTAAAGATAACATACATTTGACATTTTCGGCACTTAAGAGAAGAAAAGTACAAGAGCAAAAAAATAAATGAAAAAAATAAAAGCTGTATAAAGATCAATTAGGCCAAAAAAGGAAGCACTACACTCCATCATTCATGCACCAAAATCTTTTTGAAGTAGTAGGCAGACGAAAATATATTAATGTACCCTAATATAAGACGCAATGAAGAAGAACCTTTAACAATGGTGGATGTGGAAAGAATGAGTAATGGGTAAAGGTCAAAGGAACTTTACAGAAAAATGTTTAGCTAAGGAAAGGTTGGAGGTCATACACACCAGAGTACTCCACTTGGATTATGGACAAAAGCCAGAGAATGAGACACGGGAGAGAGAGAGGTGATGTTAACATGGGTAGATGGCTAACACTTTGTACAACAGCTGGACCAAAGCAAGCGGTGTAGCGTCGCAGAAAACAGCTGGTGTTGAAGTTACAATGAATTTAAAGAAAGTAGAACAACATCTGCTAGTAAAGTATCGAAGTGGGAATTCAGCAGATCACCTTTACGACCTTTTAGAAAGAAAATAAGCAGTGATTATAAAGAAGTATTCAGGCTTCGCACAGAATCATTCAGCATGTATTTCACCTCTGGCTTTTAAGATTTCAGTATTTTTTCTTTACATATCTGACATTGAAATGTACACCTTTACATAGTATATCTGTCAAACATCTGAAAAACATCAAAAATGTAGCTTTTATGTGACCTTTTCTACATAATACTCTCGGACTAACCAATCCACGTTTTTTCAGTCACTTTTTTGTAAAGTTTTCACTCACCTAAAAGATCAGCTCCTTCGTCCACGTCCCCGATGAGCCCGGTGCCTGCAGAGGACAGCTCCTCAAACAGGGAGTCTGTATTGCGGTCAAATGCCATGTTTTCAATGCCTTTAGTAGGAGTGCTGACAAAAGAAAGAACAATAGGAGGTCGTGTTTTTTGCCTGAAGGATCTTTCATTTAAAAAAGAAAAACACCCCCAAAAGGTCCTCTTTGTATTACCTGCAGGGTCTGTACCCAATGAGATCCATGTCCAGCTCAGGGGTGGACTCAATGATGTCCTTCACATCTGAGCTGTCTTCATTTTCAGGCTGACCTGCAAAGCACACAAGCATAGATGATATAGATCAGAAGGAAGGATATGCAAGTAAACATCATAATGTTTTTGTGGTGTTGTTTTGTAAACCTGAACATAAGAGTATTAGAATATGTGACCCTACCTACTGATATGGTTCTGGTCCCTGGAGCAGCTTGCACCTCTGTGCTCTTACTGTTCCCATCTTCCCTCTCCATGTCCGAGGCAGTGGTTGACATCGGTGTGGCCGACTTGGAGCCGGTGAAGTCTGATAGCTCATCCTGTAATGAAAAATGATTCATTTACAACAACAAAGCGATGCCTTAACTGAAGCTGTACCAAAATAGAAAATAAACCAAAGATAAAGCTGACACAGAAACAGAAGCAGCAAGAGTCCAATTTCTCTCCGCTCTTACATTATGTAGAGGGCACTTTTCACAAAGTAAAAATCCTCAACTACCGAGCTTTTTTTTACCAACTTCTTATAAGGTGAAAGAAAAAAATCACACTTCCACCACAAAGATCTGACACACTATCCTATATGAGATTATATTAGTGAAATTGGAGCACAACAAAACACAGATAATCACATATAAATGAAATATACTGGAAACACTAAATGTTGCGAATGGACTGAGGAGAGCTTTCTGGCTGGATGCAAAGAGACAATATGAGCAACACAGAAAGTGGCACGCAAACACAACGTCCAAAAAACACGACACAGACTGCAGAAGGCTTCAAACAACATTTACTGAACATAAATAAGGACAACAACAGGAGCTACTGCTAGTTTACTAAACTCTAGTAAACTACACAAATCCACCGAAAATCCAAAAACTAATAATACATAACTACAGCAGTAAGTGACAGATGAAATGTACGCTAATGTAAAATGAGTGATTAGTAATGTTTGAAGAGCTACATAAATACAGCAAAAATAAAGTCAAATATATACAACTCATGCATTTTACCCAAAATCAAAAACAAACTGGAGGCCAGATGCAACCAAGCTGCTATTGACTTTTGCACATTAATAATTAACCAGCTCCATATGTGCACTTTTATTTTGAAAGATCCCAATGAGGCCTTCAGACATGGTTGCATATAGCACAGCTGGTCTGTGACGTGAGAGTCTACAAATGCACAAAGCGACGTGTTTGAAAAGATGAAACAGCATAGTGGAGCAAACTACAGAAGCCCACACACACGCAAACATAAACTGTGCTGCGCACGGCCAGCGCAGGAGCGCTGCTGCTCGTACCAGCCGCCACTCATCCAACTACCTTGCAGTCGTCTGCCAGTGAATTCCCCCAAGTAGAGTCCTGCGCACTCTTACCCTCCCTTTCCTTTGGGGGGTCACCATAGTCCAACTGCTTGGGGGAGGGGGAAGAGTAAGAATGCAGCTCACAAGTGCAGAAGCAGTTCAACAGAAATGCAAACACCTCATAGTGTGCATGTCTGTGAAGTGAATGGGACAGTTCATACATACAAGTAAGCATGTGTGTGTGAGTGCATGTGTGATTATAGTTTATAGATCGTCAACAAGCAACAGATGAGTCTTTAGTCAAGTCAAATCAGCGTTTATTGTTTTGTAAATCTCTTTCCTACGGTGGCCCTGAGAGGTCAAACGCACTTAACGCACTAAATATCGTCCAATAGAAAAAATGTTGCAGAAGGACAAAAAACACAACAGAAGTTATATGAAACAAAACTGAAGTGTTTCTGGGGACACAATAACGTAATTGCGTGATTCTTATAATGCTGCAGATACATGTTCACTATTAACCGCTAACTGTTAGCTTGTTACTTTTGTGAGCTTTTGTTCTTCCGTTGTGTTATGTGTGCTTTTGTCATTTTCAGTGTTAGAGTTCTTGAAGTGCAGTGCATTTGACCTCTCAGGGCCACCGTACTTTCTGTATAGAATCAAAATAGGTTTTGACTAATGACATGTTGCAAAGCTAAAACTATTTGTGCAGGAAGTCAGAAATAGTAATAGTAAAACAACTGCTTAGTTATGAAAAGTACACAAATATATTTATATTGATTCAATTTTTTTCAGTTTTTGTATTTTATAATTTCAGCACTTGCATATTACATTACAGTAATATTACATATGAATCATTTTAATTCTTTTGTTTATTTAAGCGCTCCCCTTGAATGAAGTAAAATGCAATGACGCAGAAACATAATTATGCCAGTTTCAGAGCTAAGATGAAATGGTTTTACTTAAATGACTAATGTGGAAACTAGATCATGGCCAGCACATGCAGGTCATTAACCTGTCGTTTGCTTTTCGCTCACCTCTGCAGCACCTCGCGCTCCCATAAATAAACATGACATCGCTCCTGAACTCTGACGCCATGTTTGCATATCAAAGACACCCATGTTCAAAAGGCCGTGGCTTAACAATAACCGCCCTGTAGCTCTGATTACATAAGGCCCCATCACAATCCAGCCAGCCTCTTTTTTCCTCCCTCTCTCAAGGACTGGCTGCACGCCATACAGCGGCATCATTCCCAGAATGCACTGCGCCGCAGAGCTGGTGTCCCAGTTTTAACAAAAACGCAGCAGTGCAATGTAATAACATTGTCACCCTGCAGGTTCTGACTGCCACAGATACAATCATCGCTGACATGCCCATCAAGTACCCAAGTGACTTTAAGGAGCATCAACACCATTATATTGTGGATATATATAAAAAAAATATTTTTGTTTCCCCACTTAAAACACGAATTAAATTAACTGTAAATACTGAATAAAATAACACATAAAAATGTGTTAATGTACCTGCAGAAAACGTTTATAAATATTCATGTGACACATTTAATGATCTCCTCTGATTGCTACACCAGGGGAAGTCTGCATATTCATCAATGGCTAAAGAAGAGTCTAGAAACAGAGGGCGCCTTGTTAGATGCCTGCATAAAAAACACATAAGCACACCCGAGCCTTATCAAAGGCTCTCTATTTATAAATGGACTCGAAGCTTAAAAACTCTATTCTATCTTCTATTTTCGACCTCTGGCAAAACCACCACAAACAGGAAATCCAATTAGAGCGATCATATCATTCTCCATAATGCCAGTGTTTTTTAATAATACAGCAAAAGCACTAATTAAATAATCAATTATTAATTTTCAATTTGAATCAAGTGATGTCATTATTTAAGATTTTTCATTTCACTTGCTTTTCTTTTATTTAACATGACCTGGACGACAGCCTTCAGCTTATTTATGGAAAAGATGCTTTAAGAAGCAGAAATTAGATATGTTGGCCTTTTACATCCAGACTTCATAGACGAGGCATGAATGTGTCTTCTACACATCGGTTTTCTGGCTGACATAACGTGGCCTGAACCAGACACAGGTTTATTCTCTAAGGATAGATCACAAGGTGGGTACGACCCACACACCCACCTTGAGACTTGTGTTGGAGCGAGGCTGCGATGAGTCAGTGAACCTCCAGCTCTCTGTGCCCAGTGTCTCTGCTCTGGCCTGAGGATCTGGGATGAGCAGAGACGCTCCGCCAGATGATGGGAAGATTCCCAAAGAAAGAGGTCGCTCTCTCCTTGGGAGATTAAAAAAAAATTATAAAACGTCCCTTTTTATTGGAGAACAGACCACAAACGCTGCCTGTCGATGACGTGTGATATGAAAGTGGCTTGGCAAACAAACTTATGCGCTCTCACCTGACTCGGCCGACTGCGCTCGACTCGGAGGTCTCGCTGATCTGTTGCATTTTGATCCTCTCCACGTGCTCCATGTAATTATGGATCATCTGCAGAATTCAAAGCAAAAACACCCAAAAGGGAGCTAGTTAGTCATGACCACTATTCAGAGTTATGCTCCGCTCCTCCCTTTCTCTCTAACCTACCTCTGTGTGCCGCTGATGGAGGGAGTTGTATTCCTTCTTCAGGTCCAGCTCTCGTTCTTCTAACCTGCCAACTGAAACAAAGGAAGGCCCTCATCAGTCTCAGCTACTTTACAACCAGCTTATAGACTTTAAATCACTTGTTAAATACTTCAGAACCTCACTGTCACATTACTGTAATTCTTCTCTGTGATCATTAGGTTTTTGCATGTGTATGACAGTCGTACGTAAAAAGGCGTGCAGTTTTTCTCTGCTATGCAGTATAGGGGGGCTGGGGGGGTGGGGGTAATCGCACCTAAATAGTTTTCAGCACTGGGCGCCTTACGAAGTGACAAAAACATCTAATCCCTTATTAGCACATCAGGTTTAGCCTAAGCCACGCAGCGAGCTGCTGCAACAGACGGGTTTAAAGCTATCGGATACTATCAATTACAACAGCTAAAGCTTCTGTGTGTTGTGCGATGATGCCTTGCCAGTGTGTACTTTGACACTATCGAGCAATTTTATTCTGCAGTCATGAGTCATCACATTCCTAGATCCCAGTAATAAAATGAAGAAAGAAAAGCTGTGCAGGGGGACAGCTGAAGCTTCTCGCAATCCTTGATGAGTGAGTGTGTGTGTGTGTGTGTGTGTGTGTGTGTGTGTGTGTGTGTGTGTGTGTGTGTGTGTGT